GATATGACAGTCTTGGGTTTTTTCTAAGATCTATGGCCTCTCCAGCTATGTGTATTTGGCTATGTTTATAGTACTGCACATGAGTTTCCTGCCACTGAGTGGGCTTTAAGTCCAATTAGGTAGCTGTTGATTACCCCCAAGATAAAAGTGCCTCTACTCCACCAATGTCATTTGCTGTGCTGGTCATTGATGTGGTTATTAGGCCTCAAAGCTGTGGTTAGCCCAGTTATTGATTTCTCCTTTAACAGCTTGTGTAGAGCTCTCCAAAACTATGATAGCTAGACTTCAGCAGAGGTGACTTCCAGTTCAGTTCCAGCTCCATTGCTCCAAATCTTCTGATTGAAATATGTCCTGTCTTCAACAATAGGGTCTTACCTTCGAGTTCTGGGAGGCAATCAAGGGCTGTGGCAATAGCCAGTGTAATTTTGGGAGTCTCTTGAACTACCCTGGCCAACAACTCAAAGTGGTACAATTTTATTACATCTATGAAAATCACTACAAAAAGGTAAAGGGCAGACATTCTGAACTAGCTCTTTTACTTCTTTCTTCACTTAGAGATACTATATCTGCCCACCTCTCTCTCTCTCTGTTCCACTGTTCTACTGAATTTCCTCTAAAATCTTCCCATTATCTTTAGTCATATTACCAGCAACAAAACAAAGTCTGGATATAAATGCATCTCAAATTTAGTACCATTTTTGAAACATAAACAACATTTTAAAATGTAGACTAGGACTCAGGAGAGAAATGTGGTGCAAGAGGTTTCATTTTCAACAAGTTTCTGGGTGATTCAGATCATGTCATTAGTCCAGGATCACGTTTTTCTGCATAATATAAGAAATGCCTTCCATACACATGCCCACATACATACACACACACACACACACACACACACACACACACACGTGTACTCATGTATTTTAAGTAAACATATAAAATAGTTTGTTTTCCTATGACTTTTTCAAACATACTTAATGTTATTTGTCCCTGATTGTCTACAAGAATTTGAAGACCCTATTTCTGAAGAATAAGAATAAGACCCTATTTCTGAAGATACCACTCACTTTAGACACTGGACTTGGAGGAATTAAGCTGGAAATGATCTGGAACCCTCCTCCTTGTGGACTAGTTCTCATTATTTGAAGGTGTTATGCAAGATGCCCAGGGAGAAAGTCCTACTGAAATCAATAATCCTACCAAGCTGTAAAACCTATGAATCAGAAAATGATGGGCCTAGCAAGAATATCTCTAATGGTACAATAGTGGCACTTCTATCTTGGGGACAACCAACAGCTCTCATCAAAGAAGTTTCCTTTTGCAATAGATGCAATGATTACAGAGATCCACAACTGGTAAAAATACAGAAGAATAAGTGATCCTGAAGCCTAGACTCATAATACATCTACATACAATCCTTATTCATATGGCTCAGAGAACATCATTAATGCCAGAAGTAACTAATTTGGGGTAGGTGGTGTGGGTGAAAGCAGATTAGTTATCTCATCAGAACATGAAGTGTGAGAGGTTTCTCTAGAAGCAGAATACGAACTGTGGTGGGGACAGGAACTCTCACATGCTCCTGCTATCCGTTAAGATGCACCTTTCCTTTCCTAGCACAAATCTAAGGCCCTGGTACTTGAAGTACAAGCAGGTACAATATTTGTCTGTGATCCCACAGGTTGGCAAAGGTAGGCAGGCCTGGGAACACTCCATCGTGGATCTTCAAGGTATTCATGTGAGATTGCAAAACCTTGAGCTTACTCATTCATCTACTGAAGGTCTACAAAGGAGACAAATGGTATTACTCTTAAAAGATAATCTGTGAGCTCAAGATGTGGCCATTTTCCCATTCCCACCCCCATCACTCAGTCATACTTACTAAATTGATCTTCTTTGATTCTTTCTAAAAAGATTTATTTTATCATTTTATTTTATGTGTATGTATGTGGGCCTGAGTATCTGTCTGTGCATCGTGCACATACAGGTATCAATGGAGATCAGAAGAGGGCATCAGATTCCCTGGAACTGGAGTTTCAGGTGGTTGTGAGCTGCCCAAGGTGGGCCTGGGAAATCAACCTTGGTCCTCTGCAAGAGCAGCAAGTACTCTTAACCAATGAGTCAACTCTCCAGTTCCCTTGTTTGATTGTTTGATTCTTTTTACATATTTAAGAGAAATTTTATTGATTTAAAGAATTTCATATAATGAATCTTTTTTTCTTTTTTCATTCCAAAATAGAAAAAAATGAGAAAGCCTAAGCAAGTGAGGAAGGTCTGTTTAGGTTTATTATGATATATAAGGGATGAAACAAAAATAATATACACATGATCTTAAAATGTCTATGGTCATAGTTTAGTCAACTACTTTAAGGAATAAAATATATATCTAGTTAAGGTTTATCTGAGAATATTTTATCTACATAGAACACGATAATTAAAAGTACCAGACTGGTGGAACTAAACTTATTGGACATTTAACAACCATAATTTGAGGCCTAGACTAATGTGATCAGAGGGACTTAAAGGATAGCTTTTGCCCCTTGCTATCCAAGGTTAACTAAGTTCCAGGGGACTATGGAACATATCCCAAAATGTCCTGTAACTGTGGTGAGTCACCTGTCCTCTTGTTCAGGGAGGACATGGTGACCTCATGAGATGGACTTGAACCAGTGTCCAGTCTACAAAGAGGAGGGTCAACTCAGAGGAAACATCTCATTCATGCTTCCAACTGAAGCCAGACATGGTGGAACAGGACCTTTGACTTATCTTCACATAGATGAAACTGGTAAAAGAAAGGAGCCAGGAGCTCCTCCCAAGCCCATGTGACCCCCAAGGAACAGATCCTCAAATGACCTTAAGTGTAAAACTAAATTGATTTATTTGGGCCAACTGTATGGTCTTAAGCACCCAAAAGGAAAGTATAACCAAAGAGTAAAGTCATCAGTATACTTCTTTAAGAGTTCAAGGGAATACACTTCCCAGACAATAGGCTTAATTTCTATATCCCGGCACCCACGTGGTAGCTAACAACTGTCTGTAACTCCAGTTCCAGGGGATCAGACAACCTCTCTGTCCTCCATGGGCATTGCATGACATGGATGCACTTACCTACATGCAGGCAATACATGCATACATATAAAATTAAAATAATAAAATATTTTTTAAAAAAGTTATTTAGACAATTATTTTTCATTGATGATTTTGTCCCTAACCAGAAAGTGCTGCTCAGATGTAAGACTTCAAATCTTGGTCTCCAATACTGTAGTGCCCACCTGTAGCTAAGGGAGGCAACCAGCTGTTGTTCTAAAATGATTGATAACCTTGTTTCCTCCTCTTATCTAGAACCCTTTGAGATGGAACTGACACTGATTCTAACCACTCCACCAGCTATCAAAATACCTGAAAGCAAATCCTGAATCCATCACTCTAGAGTTCAGCCTGGGAAGAGAAAAGAAAAATGAGGAGGAACCCAATAGAAGGATGCTTTTGGAAGCCCTTGTCAAGAAATTCCAATGGACTCTCATATGAACATTTGAAAATTGCCCTGGTCTGACTTTTCTCTAGTTCCCTGTCTAGAACTTGTAATGCTAATTGCTCTTGCCTTTACTTCTCCTTCACATCTCATGTTCATGATTCAAGGACTTTTTTTCCCCCTAGAAATAGAGTTATGCAATTTGGGAGTCTTTTAGATAGACCCACTGAAGGGGTACTCCAATTGCCTCAACCTGTGTCCCTGTTCAGCATGGAAGAAGCCAGAGTGGTCAGCATCCCTATTTTCCATTGGCAATTTGGGTAACCTCTTCAGAGGATGGTGTGATAAGAATAGAAGGTAGGAATTGGCTAGGCAGTCAGGGTAAAAAGACCCCAAAGAAAAGTAGCCAGTTTCTTGGCTAAAAGTCAAAATGTCCTTGGGCTTCTTAGCAACATACTCTTTCCCAAAGGCCAAAGATGTTGAAAGTATTTGGGAGCTTGTATCTAATGCTAACTCTAGGGTTACCTCTTCAGACTCTAGGGTTACCTCTTCAAAGGGGGGAATGTTAGAGCAGCTAAAAGCCCCATAAAAATAAATAAATCAAAGAAGAAGAAAAAATAATGAATATTATATTCAGACCTCCTCCCCCATCTCCACCCTCACCTTTCCACCCCTACTCTCCACCCTTTGCTTCATGTCTTCTATTAGCAAATGAACAACCTTATCCATCTTACATAACACCTCTGAGCTGGGTGCCAGAGAAATCATATCTTTTGAGAGTGTCAGTGATCTATAAGTCTTCCACAGAGGTGTGCCAAAGTAAGGGCCCACTCACAGTCCTATGTATATGGTTTTGGGTCAGAATATGCCCAGGTTTCTTGGAATGAGATTTCCACTCTTAATTTCTGTTTCTCTTACACATTACTTGGGAAATGTCATGTAGGAATTTCTTCTTTTCTTATTAGTGAGAAACACTTGGTTTTCCTTATCAAAGTCAGTTGTTCACAGCCCTTGCATGCAGGTTACTCTTTGACTGTTGTGTTCCAGGACTCATTCAACACAATAACCCTAGTGAGAATCAAGGCATTTTCCAACATGGTGATTCCTCACAGGGTTTTACTGTGGGTAAAAGCAGAAGCTAGGTCCTCACGGCAGGCAGCAATTAGCTCACAGACCTCCAATCCAAGATTCTCTCAGTGGAAGTTGGGAAGTTTCACAGCTTCACATACCAGTGTCCTCTAACAGTGTCCTCTAGTTTATATTCTGAAAACTGTAGACTTTTCAGCACGACTGTACCATCTTGGCTCTTCAATTATTTTCCCTCTTATTTGCCAAGTCCTGAGTTTGGAATTTTGAGATCAATATACAAGTACCTGTGGTCAGGTAAATATTTATCTTATGTGGTAAGGTTCCTCAGATGATCCATCACATGCATTCAGTCTCTTGGGAGTTAGCACACCTTGGGCCCTGAAGCTGACTGCCCAGGGTGCACCTCATCCTTAAGCCATCTTTTCTCTCAACACCATCGCTTTATGCTCTTCTCATATTACTTTTCACAATTCATACTGAATAATGAGTTCTGGATTTCAAAATAGGATTTATTTTTGTACCTGTCTTCCTGACTTTGTCCACCAGTTGAACAAATACACTAAGTCCTCCTCATTCTTTAATTTTTGATCTCAATGTCCTTTATGGTAATTGTTTAGCTTCCTGGTGCATTTTTTTCTCCCAGTGAAGATTAAATGTTAGATGAATTATTAGTGAATTTTTCATAATGGTTTGTTTTCTTTGCAGGCAACATTTTTGACAAATTGCTTAACCTTATCACAATTCAACATTACTCAGTCATTAACTTTTCTATATATGTTGATATAAGCAAATCTATGTGCACATTTACTTTCCATTAAGGGAATTAGTGACAGTTTTCATCACAGTGTGTGCTCTCTAGTGTAATGGCTGCTTATGATACTGAATTTTTGCTTTAAATCTTAAAATTTTACAAGGGGCTAGAAAGATAGCTAAGCAGTTAAAAGTACATACTTCTCTTGCAGAGGACCTGAGTTTTGCTCCCTGCATCCACATTGGATGGCTCACACAGTTCCAGAAGACATAGGGCTCCAAGAGACATCTAGGGGAAAGAGTGTCCTCCGTGTTTGGGCCACTCTTAAAAACTAAGAGTTAGGCTTTTATTTTCTCATATGATCATAATGTCAATGCAGTAATGCCACAGATCCATTTGATCCATTTGGTAACAGAACCATGTGTATATTTGGTATCAACTCCATATTGGTAATCAGATTGATGTAGAGTTTAAGGTAGTTTACAGTTCCATAGAATCCAATGCTTGTTTTTAATGATCATATGTGGTTATTCAACTGAGTGTAAAAAGAATATTAGTGGTTGGGTTCTTATTTTGAAATATATCAGATTAACACCCCTGAAAAATTTAAATATGTACAGAATGGCAACATTTGTCAAAGAACAACACCTTCATTTAGCAGCCATTGACTGTCCATTGAATATCATGTGCAAGATAATCAAATAGAAATTGACCATGATTAATGCTTTCCCAACACTTAGACTCTGTAGAACAAACCTGTGCATGTTCTTGTTTGACCCTACAAATGCTTCCAAAGGTTTATGAAGCAGACTGATAAGAGTTTCATTTAATAGATGAAGCGACTGGAGGTCAATGTTGTACCTTCTCAAACCACCAGTGGCAATGTACCTCCTGTTGTGTTTAGAAGACCACACTGAAGCACTTCATATCTTCTCCGTAAAGAAGCTTTGCTAGGGAGCTGGAGAAAGCCTGGATGGATGCCTCTAGGATGAAGAAGACAAAGGAAACCTCTTAAAAGGAGAAGCTGACAGACCTGAGGGCTAGTCTTTCACCAGTTTTCCAGTGTGCCCAGGAGCAGCCCTGCAGACTCCTTACATTTTCAGCTTAGTTTCTGTTCTTTCTTTTCTTTCTTGAGTTTTTTTCTCTCTGGCCAAAAGTAGTCTGGCCATTAGGAAAAAAAAAGTTACAGGCTGTAAATATGAAATCACACAAAATCCCACTTGTCAAAAAGCCATACTATAAAATGCTGTGGCACATTGACCTTGGTGAGGGTGCACCTCTTCCTTTTCAGAACAGCTCAGTGAACCTCTCCCCCTGATCTGCACTCAGCATTCTTCATAAAGCCAGAATGTCTTTGGCGTATGTTGAAAGGATGGTAAAGAGTAGAAACATGAGACCACTGCTTCTGAGGACCTACAAATCACAGTTTCCCTGCTAATATTTGGTATTTTTAATGTTTGCTACCACGGTTAGGAATAATTTAAAAGATATAATCCCCTTCTCCCCAATTCTCAATAGAAGCACTGCATGACAGAGGAGGAGGGATTCAAGAAAGCTTCTGAGCCACCAGATTCAACACTACACTCTCCGTGCAGCAAAGCTTTGGCATTCTTTTAAAAACTGTCTCCTACACTACTACTAATTTTATTTAATCAATGTTAGTGTGATCCTATGTTGTCTAGTGTTCAAAGACCATGAGGTAGAAAGGGAAGAAAGGGGCTGAAGCAGGTAAGTGACAATACAAAGTAGGGACTGATGTAGGCTGATAACAAGTAAATGCAAAAGTTCAGTGAAAACCACATTTCATAATTTATAAAGAGCATGAGGCTGAGGCCAGAGGGTACAAGGGCAAATATTTCCAGTAAGATCCATAACCAGTTTCCCTTGTGTTTGTAATGATATTCTTAAATGATTATTGAGCTATATCTTATTTAAGACTATAGGTAATATAAAATTATTCTCTAGTAATGTTTTTCACATCTACTAATTAACATGAAGCAATTTTTTATGCTTCTTCCTCAAATATAACACATTTTTTATTTATTGATTTTTTTGTGTGTATTTCATGCAGAACATCCCAAACAATCTTATTCATCTATACACCCACATCCCAAATGGCACCCTCTCATAGCTTGTCCTTCCGCTGAGTCTAGTCAGCCTATCTAGAGTCCCTGTTTTAGGAAGATCAGCTCTTCCTCATCTAGCAGCAATTAGTTGTCAATATTCCTTTAGATAAGATTGGGGTCTGCTGTTCATTTTCCCAGTTCAATGCTGTGTTACTGTCTGGGAGTCTCTTAGGCCAACCTGGCCAACAACTCAAAGGAAGGAATCTTCTGTCTGGCATTGTTTCTTGTTATATAGCCTTTAGCTACACACATGGACTCTTAAAGAATTATATTGATCCCCTTATTCTTTGAAATCTACCTCATGACTTTATATCCATGCTCAGGTGCCAAGGATCTCAGAAAGTAACCAACTGTGACTAGTAATAATCATATATAGAGATTAGAGACAAATGTGCAAACATCTAAGCATTAGTTGCATTAAAAATGCATTTTTCTGCATGAAATAGTATATTTTAAAATGAAATGGAGATCATTTTTAAAGGTTAAAACCTCATTCAATTTTATGTCTTACAGGGTTTATACTGAGTACAATATTGTATAACTGTATTAATTCAACTGTGAACCTAAAAATTTACAGCCAATTTTGAAAGAGATGCATCTTTGCTCAGGAAATTGTTATTGAATATGTCAATGCTGTTGTAATGAAATGTTTCTTCTGATTATGTGGTTATTAAATAAGTAATTTAAAAAATTATTTTCTGAATTTTACAGCTAAAATGGTTAATATACAGCACATTGCTTATAAAAAGAACATTTTATTAGGCTGAAAATTTTAGTGATATATAATGATGGAAGTAGGCTTATTGTCATCAAAGCTGCCATAAGGTCAAGAAACATGAATATAGACATTGTTCATTTAGAATAATGATATATGTAGTATAAATTAGAATTAAAAATTAATTTGGTTTACATTAAAAATATTTTCTTTATTATTTTTACTTTATGTATATGAATGTATTGCCTGCATGTAGGTAAGTGCATTTATGTGGTGTAGTGTCTGGGGAGGTCAGAAGAGGGTTTGGGGTGTTACAGATGGTTGGTAGCCACCATGTGGATGCTGGGATTTGAACCCAGGTCCTCTGCAACAGCCATCAGTGCTCTTAACTGCTGAGCCATCTCTTCAGTCCTCTGCTTTACATTTTTTAAAAAAATTATTTTTAATTATGTGTATTTATGGAGGCCTGATGAGGGTCTCAGATGGAACTCTTTTGCTGGAACTCCATCCCTGAAACTGTGTGCCAAGTCCAGTCTCACCCATAATTTTATTCAAAATGGTATCTCCATCTTCAATTGGGGAAGTACAGGCTTAGCTCCACCCTAATCTTAACAGGCCATCTAGCCTTTGCATCCCTGGTTCTAAAACATCTCATTCATCCAAGGTCATACATCCTTATCAATCTCCTCTGTGTCCAACAGAGACGGGGGCACCACCTTTTAGCACTTTGATATGTTAATTCCCAAGCATTCATTTATTCATTCATTCATTCATCATGTTTTTTGGGTGAAGCATCAAATTGAGGCTGCCTAGAAAAGGAGATCAGGTATCAAAATAACAAGAAACAAGAGCATATAGTTTTGCTGGGGTTAATTAGAAGTCATTGGCCAGATTTTGTCCATTTATAAAAGTCATTCCCATATGGATCCATCCCTTTATGGGTTATGTTATATACCACAGAGACTAGAAAGCAAAACATACTATCCCATTTGCCAATCAGAGGAACCTGCATAGAAGTTTTGACATGGGAAGGAAGGTTTGGGGGAATGGGCACTTGCCATATGGCAAGCACTCTGAGAAAGGCAGCCATGGGGGAGCTGCAGTGCCCAGGGCCTTGATTTCCTTGCATTTGAAGAAGTTTGACATGATTGAGAAATCACTACATTTGATGAAGTCTACCTAGAAGACTAGATTATGTCTCCTTCTTAAAGGGGCAATTGAAAATAACAGTCAGGTTTTAAAACAAGCAGTTAATAATTAAACTTCTATTTCTGCTCAGCAGAGCCAGTGACTATGAAAATCCTCTGGTTATATCATGGGTCTTGAGGATGGCTCCATACCAATGTATGTGGACTGATCACATACTTTTAACCAACTTCAGTATGTATATAACATATTTTTCATTTTTCTCTACTTAGATGCTTACATTTATAATATAGAACTTGAAATTATTTTTGGTAACTTCACAAGATCCTGTTGTGTGTATATACTTGGATTTATGGATTCACAGCTCCAGTTTTACACATCCTGAAACACAGGTTTTGCTATACCAAATACTCTGTACTAAAAATACTTTTGACATTTAAATTATATCCTACAAAATATTCATAATCAAGATGCATGTTAATTTTATGGTCATTTTCATATCCTATAAGATTTCAATAAAAAGCTTTCAAAAATATGCTTTATAATAACAATCCTCAAAAAAAGTCATTAAAATGAAATATTCTACATTTATAGCACTATACAATATGGAAATGCTACAATAATTCATATTTAAATTTTTAATTTTCAAGAAAACTTTTTTAAATTTAGCATTTATTTAAGTCTGCTGTGAGTTCAGAGAATTTATAAACTCTCTCTATGTTGGCTGCCAGGACATTAACGAGATTCTTGCCTCCAGTGTCCTTCTGGTCTTAAAACCAACAGTTTAGTTCTTGTTTCTGTGTCTGTATGTTGGCATTCCAACAGTGTGA